ATTTCTTGACCTATCCCATAGTACGTAGGGGACGGATGAATGTTGCTACTTCCAAATCCATTTTATCAAATTTATTCTAGTTTAAGTTAAGAATTCAATTTAACTTTTTACTTTTTTCATACATCTGGAATTTCATTGATCTAAGTTAGATCATCTAACGCATTTGCCCTGATGATTTATCCAGCAACCTTTGATCTGATACGCATGTGCGTTGCGGATATTATTCACAATGCCTTGCTAAACTCAAAGAACGTTCAAGCCACTAACTATGTAAATGCACTCGTCGTCAGATAGATACATTTTAAACCTGAGCTATAGAAGCCTACATTATCTTGATTACGAATTCTTTTTTCACTTTCACGTAGAGGGCGTTAAAGGCATTAGCATTATAAGCAGCATCATTGGATACCAAACTAAATTAGTGAGTCTCTTTCTCCTTAATAAATTCTTTTGTGCATTTATTTTGCCCCTCTCTCTTTGATACGCCATGCAGCGCACATATAATAGAGAAGGCATAATAGGGAGAAAAAGAGGTTCATTAAAGCCTTCACTTTTTATTTGAAGGGAAAGTCAAGGAAATCATTCTCAAAAAACGATTTCATCCACCTCGCTCGCTTTCTCAGGTCCCAGCGGTGGGGTACATGCTCCATGGAAAATACAAGTTTACACGAGTGAAAGCAACTACTTTTGCCTGAAAGCTGTTTTGATTGTGAAAATGGAGCTACAATTTTAAATTGTTTGATGTCTCATTCTTGGGAGCAACATAAAAATGACATATTTTACTCGTGCCTCAACTGAGGCAGCAATGCATGACTGTGATATGGTCTCTAAACGGATAAATAAGTATAAGCTTCAATAACTGCATATCTCGCCTATAAAATGGAACAGTTGCGTCTATATTTTAAAAAAAACTCGAGCAGGGGGAATCCCATTGCCGTACTTTATTCGTTCCTCCTCCGTTCGTTGGTTGGTTCCCTGTACAGAGAGACCCAATAAAGTATCACATTATGACAGTCCATAATATTAGGTGTCAATATATTTTACAGGGAACCTGGGATAATATAATACAAACTCAATTCCCCCCTCAACAAAGTATATTCCCCTTTCCCCGTTTTTTTCATTTCAACAACCATTTCCGCATCTGCGTTTGCTTTCACTCGACTCCAGATTCAAGTCGAGAATGGGAAAAGCTGCTGCTGTTTCTGCGTTTCCTTCCTGTGGTTGGACTGCTGCTGCTGGTGGCGATTACTGCGATGATGATGGGCAGTAGTGGTGGTGACCAACGTTCGCATATCTGTATATATACTACGTTGGAGCAAATGCATAGATGCAAAAGTATAGCAAATTCTACAGCAATAACCAGCGTTTCAAGTGGAGCCCCATATGGGCCAAACTACACCAAAGGCCAATCCCATACATTTATATCTGTCTTCAAATGGTTAAGCCTCCTCTTGGCCCATGGCTTTGAACAACCCAACTTAAATCTTCTTCACCCAACTGACCAAGCCATTTCGAGCACATCTACAATTCTTCCTTTATGTAGTCACGAGCTACATACATACATCGTCGTTGGCCATGCTGCTGGACGGACACTGAGTGTACAGCAGAAAGAAACACTGCGAAGCGAATCCTTTTTCTTACACTTTCCTTCTAAGGCAGCAAGGCGACGACTTATGTAACACTTGGTTCGAAATCGCCAGAGTTTTTCCTACAAAGAAACCACAGAGTGGGTTCTCCTTCCTTCTTCTGTGTAAGAAGGAAGAAGGATGAATGAGTCGGCTGGATCAATAAATTTCGATCCGGTCCAGCCTTTCCTTCACGGAGACATGGTCATCTCGACATTTTATGGTATATCACCATGAATGGGTCTAATGTGGTTTCGCTGCTGCATAAACAGACACAAATTTATTATCCATTTTGCATCTAACAAAACGGACTGGTCTGGCGAGAAAGGGATAAATTATTTGAAATTGAAATTTTGAAACAACCCTAAAGTGTAATTTAGTATCAGAAACCAAGCTCCGCAGGTTGTTCACGGCATTTTTTAAATAAAATAATACAGAGCCTCCTTGCTTAAATTGTAATGTTTTGTCTAGGACAACGTGAGGGAAGCATATTTCACATCATCGTATGAATAAACGTTCAAGTTGTACCGCTTATTTCTTCCAAACTCATCACACATGTATCACTTTTATAGTTTTTAAGGATGTCAAGCCTTCTCATAAATAGCTTAGGCGCACATAAATGTCTGTTTCAACCCAATTTGAAGCAAGGCGATATTATTAAGACGCTCATAAATGGTCGCCCAAGCGCCCGTCGCCAGTGAGGTCCGGGTCTCACGGGGATGGTCGTCACATCCATTATCCGCCCAAACCCAAAAAATCTAAAATAGTTTCGCTTTAAGATACTAAATTTGCCACCACGCTGCACTCAGTGCAAACTTTATACTTATTGGGATCAATTACTGACCAAACTTTCACCAAGAAAAAGAGCAAAGATTTCCTGAAATATGAAGAACTCTGCTGAAAGTATATGTATATTTACGTGCCCGACTACATCACACCTTATATTTATGAGGGAAAGAGTTGGTTGAGTTAGGGAACAGAGTTATAAAATAAAAAAAGCACCATAACAGAACATAATGCAACACTTTACTCTATCTGCACCATTTCCCCTCTGATTTAACTACATTGCCGAGCGGCCACATTGTTCAGCGTTGCTTAAACTACTAATAGTAAGTAAAAGCCAACTGCCTCTGCATTTCAACTCTCCTGGATGGATTGAATGGCTCTACTCCAACTACAAATAAGCAACTTATATGACGAAAGGGAAGGAGGGAAAGTAGCAGCACTTTGTACAAGTGAGTAGACCATTTTCATCACTTCAAACCGTTCACCTATTCACTAAACCGTATTGAACTTTTGCCACCTTCAAATGGGAACGAGGGTGAAGTGGAAATTTTGAAAGGCCCATTGGCACGGCTGGCGAAAGGATAAACTCGTCCGTGAAAAATGCTTCCGTGAGATTTCTGTGAAAGAAACAACTTGCATTTTGTACAACGAGGTTCAAAACTGTCATCGCATAAACCACACAAAAAATGTAGTAAATATGCAATCTAAGGTGTAAAGGGTCACCCAAACCGCATGCACATGTGTATAAACTGGTGTCAAAATAGAGAGCTGACTTTCTTTTTTTTTTAAATATTTGGAAACAAGTGCAAGATAAAGAATACGTAGTGCATGCATAGAATCGTGTTTGCCCATAGACGATCTGGATACCAAAAGGGAATATTCACAGGCTTTCTTGCTACGCAAATAAATGCGCTGGCATATCTCTGTAATATACGACATGGGAGGAGATGAGACGAATAAAGTCGCGCATTTACTACGTATATTTCGTATATTTCTCACAGACATATACATATCTTGTGCTCATGAGATTGTAGGACAGACAAAATTTCTTCATCGGCGGCCGTTGCTTTCCCCCTTTTTGAAGCTCTTATTGCTTGCATTTAGTCGGAAAGGAGGAGTAAAATAAAATAAGGGGAAACTTTTTGGCACTCTTTAAATTGGTTTGATCCATTTGCATTTCTCTTCTCACTTCCATTATCCCGTCATGTTCCGGAATGCTAAATTCCCTTCTCCATCTGCAACTAAATTTTCCAAATTGACAAATGTGAGAAAAATGATAAACTTTCCACTTTCCTGCTACTCTACACAAAATGCACGGTAGAATTGCATGGAATTTATAAATGTTAAATTTCGTGGCGAGAACTTGTATTCGTAATTCGAGGAGAACTAAAATGTAAAAAGTTAAAGGACTGAAAAAGTAACTGCACACTCAACGCGTAAAGTTAACTTTCACTCGCAACAATGCATAGACATGTAATCACTATTTATGTGCCTGCCTGCAAAATTTCAATATTATACACGAAACGATAACGATACACTAAAACTAATTTTAACTACTTTAAAATAAGAAAAGAAATCCAAAATATTGAGACCGTCTAAGAAAAAGTAAAATGAAGAAATTTGCAAGTACATCCAACCAGTGATAAGTTAGTACGTCATAGTTTGTACCAAAACCATTTTAATATCTGTATCTGTATAAAGATGATTCCTCCTTTTCATTTGCATTCCCAATTGTGCCTGTGGTTGGCTCATGGCTGCACATCCCAGATTAAAATAAGATTATGAATTCAATTCCCAGGAAGAAAATTGAAGGCGAGGATTCAGTTTCACGTTGGTCAATAGAACCAGCGTAGTAGTCGTAGTGGAACTTATCCTGAGGTTTGAGGGCAGGAAGGGCACAAATGAGATCATATCTTGAACTTGGAACTTTGAAATTCTCTGAAGAGAGGCAACATGAGATGGGAGCGAGACAAGTTTCGACAAGACATTTTCGTTCATCTCACAAGGTAAGATAAAACGTTCCAGCAATCAGCTACTCTCACCCTAACACGGAACCTGTCTCAGGCACGGAGCAAATTATTAAAACTGTTTTCTCGTCTGATTAATATTTATAATTAATTAACTGAAATTAACAATTATTCAATCTAAATATGCCACGGCGAAGAAGAGTAGTCACTACTTCAGAGTAAGTAATTATTATTTGTCATTTTCAAGTGTGTGTCAATCTCTTGAGAGAAATTTTGGTGAATAATATTACAACAATTGTTAATCTTTATTTATTTAGGTCTTCGGACGAAGTTGCAGACGAGCAGCAGGTGTTGGATGTGTCGGACGATGAAGCTCCATCGACTTCGGCATTTCGTCGCCGCCATCAAAAAGCCAGAAGATTGTCATCATCTTCCGAGAAGTAATTATTATTTTCCTTACCCTATCTCTCTTGACAGAAAAAGTATTGTCATTTACATTGAAACTACATAATAATTTATTGTTTATTTCTGTTCTAGTGAATCATCTCCGGAGAGAATTGAAGCTGCGGCGCCTCCACCAGAAACACCTGATGAATCATTAAAGTAATTTGTTGTCGTTGATGAATATATTAACTTTTATCTCAGCAGAGAAATTAATTGCTTCTTTTCTTGATTTATTTAGGGAGAAGTCTCGTGATAGGGGACGTGATGAATCGTCGTCGTCTGGTTTTTTTGACGATTCGGGTGCGAGTTATGTCGAGTAAGTTTCATTGAAGGAAATTTTTATGATTACTATCTATTGAGAGAATTTAGTGGTGTAATTAATTATATAATTATATTTCGGTAGTTCTGATGAAGAAGTGCAAATTCTGGACGCTCTTCCTGCAGCAGCTGAGCCAGTGATGATGGTGGAAAAGTATGTATGATTTTTTATAAATAATAATTGTAGTTTTATCTCATTAGAGAAATGTTTTTTTATAAATATTGCAGGCCGTTTTTGAAGGCTAGACAGAGGTTTGTCCCGTCAACTGCGTCATCGTCGTCCTCCATCACTACGCCTACCCTCACGGTTGATTCTTTAAGAGCAGGGGCAAAGGTAGTGCATCCGGGCGTCATATCTTGCTTCCCGGGAAAGACATACACGGGTCTTGATAAGGATGAGATAAAGTATTGGCATTATTCTATGTTCTCTCAAGAGATTGTTAATAATTTATTTTATTCATTTATTTTTGTAGGGAATACAATCGATTGGCCCATCAGAGATCCAAACATATTAAGGTCAGCCCATCTACCCCATGGGTTCCTGTTTTGGAACCTAAGTTCAAGAAGGACGATGGCACAGGAATCCATCCATCCCTTCTGTCCTGCTTCTCTGGGTTGAAAGCCGAGTTGGATGACGTGCAGTTGAGGTATGTTGCATTATTATAATAAATTCTCTCAAGAGATTGGAGATTGTTAACAATTAATTTGACGTCTGTATTTTTATAGAGAATATAATCGACTGGCCAAACAGAGATCACGACATCTTAAGACCAATCCATTAACGCCATGGGTGCCAGCTCTACTGCGTCGTATTTATCAGCACAAGACTGAATTTGACGAGAAATTTGGCAAACTCGGAATACTGCGTCCAGGGTGAGTGAAACCATCAAATAAATCATAATTGGTAAAACAAGGATTGTAATAATAATTATTATTTCTCTTTTAGAGATGCGCCAAGCCAAAAGTTGTTAGAGTATCTCGGATTGGATCCCGACACAAGGTTTCTTAGCTCTGGAATGTGAGTAACATCTTCTTAAATTCATTCTTTTTCATGGTTCTCAATAGAGAAAATAGTTATAATTTGTATCTCTCATTTTCCAATAGCAATATCGGCGTAAACGATGAGACGACGGCGGAGGTCTCCCAAATACATACCAGTCAAATCAGTCAAATTTTTAGAATATATTTTACCTCCAACTCGCAAAAGTGATTCGACTTCTCTCCTCTGGCTACTCCTTGTCTCACTCCCCCAACTTCTTTATCATCCCCTTTCTATCTGCAGAAAGAACACTCACGACCCACCGAAAAGTACTCCTCCTCCTCCTGTTCACCTCACCATGCATATCATATGTTCCATTCAGGTCCAACAAGATAGAGACGACGACTTGACTAACAAAAAGTAAAAAATGCAGACCCAAAAAAATGTGGACCGAGAAAGGCAAATGTGAGTCGAACACAATGTAAAAAGCTATCTCTTCTGTTGTGAAAGTAATGGATGGCTTCCACACACCGCCTGCGAGGCATTTCCATGAGAAAGCTTGCTCCTCCACCAACGGAAGAAAACAAGCAAGCAGGTAGGAAGGCAAGGATGACTTATATGCGATAAGGTTTTTTTAATTTAGAAGCGAGAGAGAAAAATTAAATACAGATTTTGCGGTTCTTTCTCTTATTTTCGAAAATCATAATGTCCTTTGTCATACATATTTTCAAAGTGGAACTGAATTTACTACAAGGGCCAAATACTTATCAATACTGTAACATACACGCCACCATCCATTGTAACTAGTAATACATATTTTCTGCAAAGCGTAAAGTTTGAATTTAAGGATCATGCCAACTGGCTCGATCAATATTTAACATTTATGCAGGTCGATTATACATACGTCATAGGCTGCAGACCCACGAAAGATGTTTGTGCACAATTTTCATGTACGTACAAGGATAGAGTAGTTTGCGGAGAAAGAGAGTGATATCAGCACATTTTTACTCCTTTTTCAACCTCCAGGGTGAGAACGTTTGGGGTGATATATTTTCACCTAATATGCTTTATTGCGTATGTATCATATCATACCAGGGTCTCACAAAAGCAACTTAATTGCCAACCTCAACAGCGTCCTCAAACCAACCACCGCCGCTACCAACATGCAGCCACAAAAGGCTTTAATCTTACGACGGGTGGCATGGTGCTTTTCATCATCTCAAAATTAAACCAATTTCCACACCCGAACCCATTATTTTTACCCGTACGCCACCAACGCAACATTATTTTATTCCCCTTCACAAATAAATGTTCCAAATTTCTCTAAAACTCAACTCACGGGTTTGATTGCATCGGAGGAGGGTATCCATACACAGTCTTCTTCTCACTTTCATTTTTCCACAGAAAGGTGTAGACTGCTTTCCCCCCTCCGCCCTACTCCTACTCTGCACTGCATACATGTTTCTATCCCGTTTTTACAATTGACTCATTTATTTCTCGTGTGCCCCATGGAGAAAATGCAGGGAAGAAATGGCTTAAATTTCGAAATTAAAATGTGCTGGTGGTGGTACTTTATATTAACCAAAATATAAATCAAGTTAATAAAAGTGAAAACTTTTAGTGTTTTAATCGATATTGTGTACCCTTTACGCAGAAGGGTCGTTGGAGGCGTGTAACTTTAAATGCAGAAGAAAACATGGAAATGTGTATCCTTGTCATGAGATTTATAGCTGGAGGAATAAAAGAAAAAAAATCTAGTGTAAAAAATGCAGACAGGCCATGCCGACCAACCGACCGACCGACCGACAAGACATGCAAATACAAAATAGCACAAGGACCCTGCCCACATTATACACACCAACCAAGTAACAAGAGAAAAAAATAAGGCATATACGGAATGGTGCATTTTTCTTTATTTTGTGCACGAGTAATGTAATCTATGTGCTGGTCCTCCAAATCCTCCAAACAGCAATATTTCATATTTTGCTGCTGCATATGCATGTCGTAATTTCCAATGAGTAGTAAAGAAGGTTGCTGTTGTTGTATCACATGCTCAAGTAGGAGTACACGGACGGAGGTTTAACCATTAATCCCCAAAAGTCAATAGTTTGAACTCAGACTGTAACACGTTTCGCCTTAAGTGTTTAATAAAATAAAGTCGCAAGCCAAAAGCCACTGACAGGACCCAGCCCGAATTCCATTTCCACTTCACGTTACAAATTTGAATTTCATCAAATTTACAACTGCCCTTCTGCCTTCAGCTTAACAACTTTGGTCTTAATGCATCTCGCTATGAATATTAATAGACGACCACCACATAAAATGGAATAATACAACAAAATTATGTAGAAGCTCGCTTGTATGATCAATAGAGTTGCTTCATTAAGTGGTTCGCCAACAAAGGGGACTCGTCATCTAAATTGTAGATCGAAATACATAAATTTTTGTAAGTTCTACATCAAAACTGTATAACAGCAAGAAACTGCCTGATATTTTTTGTTTATCATATGAATAATCATTGTAAGACCAAAAATGCATATGCGGACCATTTTAAATCAAACATATTTCGAATTTATAACTTGCTCGAGGCATTAAGGAAATCTCTTCGATGTATTATTTTTTGTTTAATCAAGCTTAAATAATACTCTGTCAGATTTAATGATTCATTGGAAAAATTAAATTGTGACGTTTTCAGTGTGATCTGCTGACAAGAGAATTGAACTTGAGCGGATACAGAAGACCTATGACGAAAAGCCTTCACATATATTACACACAATCCCACCAAGTATTCCTCTCATTCTGATATTGCTCTATAGCCTAACAAGGCCTACAATACAGGGGAGAATTAGAAAAAATCGGGATAAAATCTCGAGAGCTCTTGAGAAAATACTACTGCAGGACTCGGAGATGCTGTTTCTCCTGCACACGGAGACAAAGGGGGGATGAGGAGGTGATATGGCTGGCGAGTTGTGTACGCTGGCGTTGGTGGCTCAGTCAGTCAGTCAGTCAATACTTCACCAACATCTTCAAATCTTGAACATCCAATAATAGTCGTGTTCAAACCCAAAGCCAAATCTTTAACAAGCACAGCAGAAAAAGCACTTTTTCTCTTTCGTGAACAGCGTAGAGATTCTTCGTATGGATAGAATTCGAGAAGTGAAATGCAATTCAAATCTTTCAGAAACAAACCACAAACAACTGAAGAGAGAGAGATTCCAACTTCAAACTCGTCACGTGTACACCATGTCGACTTGTCACTTTGGAAAGGACTTGAAATTCTACAGAAATGTATTAACTCAAATTCTCAAAATTCTCGAATGTACTGCTGAGAGCATAGTATTGAGCAATTCAATTCAGTCTCAAATCCTTGCAAAATTGTGCTACTTCATGTTACAAAATATGCTTTGGTTTATTACAGAAGACAAATTGGATATCAGAGCTAGGAGAAAGAAGCAGGGTAAATGAATGATGCTGATGTGGTAGAAAATGCAGCAGGGTTGCTATAAATCTAGTACTTGCAATGTAACAATAACGCAGTATTTGATTTTAGAAATTCCATCATCCCGCAATAAATTGTTGTTGGTTTGTGTGTGAACACGAGTTGGTAGGTTCAAGGAAGTGAAGCAAGATTGGATCATTACGAGAAATCAGAGAGAGAGAGAACGAGGACCCGGACAAAAGAGCGTGTTCAAGTGGGTGAGGACGACGATGAGGACACAATTCAACTCAACATTACACACATCACATCATAATTATTTATTCCAGTCACAACTCTCAACTTCTCCAATCCCAACTACTCAACTAACCAAGCTGAACAAAATTCGCCTTCCAAAACCTCCACGCTTTCAACGCAACCACAGCCGGGCTGAGTCAGTCAAGGCAGATGAACCTTCAACTTCGACAAGTACAAGGAAAACGCGGAACGCTGCAAAGTAAAATTACACCAGTTAACTTATTACTGGGGCTAACTTTCAGTAGAAACTCAGTCAGTGATGAGCTAGACTGACGCACGACACTTGAGATCCGGATGATCGAATTGGATTGAGGATTTTGAAACAAATTGTACACTCATTACCATATTTTATTTTTTATGCAAAATAGGAGTTCTTACCAAGCCATGTTTAGCGGCAGTGCATTTATAATTTATTTAAATAGTTCAAGATGAATGCATATGAAACTCGGATAAATTTTATCTATTATGATATTGGTTATTTTAAAGAAATTGTAAAATCCTCTGAATAACGACATGAAGCCATCATATTCGCAATTACTTTTACATAGCACCCATTTTCTGGTAGTCACAGTTTAATGTTTCTTGGTGAATTATATTTAATTATTCTCATCCGTCCATGATTCATATTTCCACTAAACGTAACCACGAGCATACAATCCGTGGGGAGAGGAGCGCACAAAACTACAAAACTTAATCCACCAACTCATCTCATTAAGGACATCGTTAACGGTCATTACATGGGGGAGGAAGCATCGCCGGATGTAAACGACTGGAAATGATAGTTCGTAAAATTAGTCCAATAATTCTTCTATATCAAAGTCAATTAGTTGTACGGTCTCGTGCACGAGTTTTATAAATTTGTTCGTTCATGCTTTATGAATCAATGAGGAGAAGAATATCAATCAGTCGAACTGCGTGTAGTTGATGACGAGTGAGATACCTATCGCCCCCAGTCTTCTCCTATTAGAATACGTAACACTAGTTATGCAGTTATTAAATCCATCAGCATCGACTACCCAATCACCTTATACATATATATGTACCTACTAAACAATAAAACTCTGTAAGCCCGCAAAGAATAGTGCTGGACATAATTTGTTCCACGGCACGGAGAGAAATGTTTAGTTTAGGTCGTGTATGTTGGAACGTGGTCGTGACTCATTTTACATCAATACTAATTTAGACATGATGACCTGTCATCTGTGCGGAAATGTTAGCGATGGCGTATGAATACTGAACGACACGTACATACAACTATAGTTCGAAGTAAACCCTTGCAATGGGGTGCTCTGGATAAACAATGTTATGTTACAATGTACAAATTGTACGAATAAAGTTTTGCAAATATAGTTACAGTAAGTATTCAACAATATCCTGCATATGTGTTTGTCTGTATATTTCTGAACATTGCAATTTGCAATATACGGATTAGGTCGAGCAGCAGCCCTCTTCTTTGGGTCCACTGAATGAGTGAGTTGAGTTGACACCTTTTGAGTTTTGGAACATGTTTGAGGAAGCAAGTTTGGTCTACTGGGGGTCATCCATTCAAAAATGGGAAATCTCTCTTCTTCCCACTTCACTCACTCCCAGTATTGGAAAACTTTGACGTTCTTCTCCATCCTGTCATCCAAGTTTAGCTCAAAAATGTCTAGGCACAGTTCCTTCAAGCGAGAATCTCAACATTATATAACATTATGCCGCATGTGCTATCTAAAGGACTTCTGCCACCATACAGTTATTAGTTTGAAAATTACTTTTGCATTCGTCCTCCTCATTTTATTAACATAAACTAAAATTGTATTCATGATGTGCGTGGGATTTAACATGACAAATATTTTTAAAACTCATTAAAGCTACACTGGTAAATACGTTCAAAGCTTGTAAGCGTTGTGGATCAAAATTGTACAAATTAAAATCTGTTTAGAATAACATCTGGCTATTTTATTTTTCTAAGTTGAATGAAACTAATCCAACGGCCCGAGTAAAAGTAGAAAACTATATCTCTATTTTTTAAGCAGTTAGAGTATAAATAAACGTAGTATTATTTCATGACTCTATTCAGTCCAAGCAGAAGTTCATTTATTCCCTTGCAAGATGACGGTGGGCTCACAATAAGAAGCCACCTACCTGCATAACAGCCTTGTGTGTACCACTGCAAGCCCATCCACAAAAACATATTCTGTAACTTTCCACTAGTTTTAGATTCTGGCAAAAGTTTTTAGATTTCGTACTGTCACATGCTCGAATTTCCTGCGGAGAAAGTAAATTCATGGTATTTCAACAAAAAACACACAAGGTTGGCTGGTGTGTCTTGTACCCGACTGCCACCAGATACGAGTATATAACGTAGTATCAAACAGGCTAGTGGAGTGCCTGGCTGAATTTTATAATCCATTTCAACAAACATGGAAACTCAATTTTTCCGATTTTTCCTAAGCCGGCATCTCCTCACAGACTATTGACTCTAAAGCTGTGGCTCTCTCTCTCTCTTGTGATCCGTTCTTTATTTCCCTTTTCTCCCCACACTGCAAAACATTCCTCCACAATTTCTACATTTCATTTCCTTTATGCTCCCAGACATTTCTTGTACTCCTTATTATTGCATGGGTGCAGGGGTAAATAAGAAATATGTGAGAAGCGACTAGCGACGTGCACCTAAAGCCTACCGCCTTTGTTCATTCCTTCATCGTATAATATATTTACCAAGTCCTCCAAATCCAAAGTCTGGGCGAATCAAGCCCCTTTCTGACTTATTCGTAACTGTGTCCGTGCATAGCAGAGCGGAGGGGATATCAGTTTCCCTTTAAGACGCAATTTACCTGAGTGACATTCTGCTATTTTTCTTGAACAAACCCCAACACCAATTTCGAGTACAAACTATTCACTACTACGACAACTCCAACTACCACTGCATTATTACTCGATTGGGTGCCATGTGCTCGTCTAAAAACTTTTTGGCTGTGTTCCTCTTCTGTCTGAGAAAGTATAACAATTTGTCCGAATCGAATGTGACCCTCCTGCTCCTCTGGCAGAAGGAAGGAGAGAGAAACGACGGCGAGGGGGGTGCGAGTGAACCATTTGATGATAAGATGCAATGCTGACTCCATTTGACTTTTGGTTGCTGTGTGCAGTTATTTGGTTAGGTCTGCAACTTTCGCCCTAAAGCATGGAGTGCAAAGACATTCATAAAATGTCAGAAAGATCTCGTGTGTGGTGTGGCGTGAGATGGACTTATAAGATCTACCACCAGTCGTGGCGCTATACTGAACGGCAGGCAAGCAGTGGATGGGAAATGCCAAGTCATTCCAACAACCACTTCCTGACGATCCACCCACATATGTGCTATCCACAGCTTTTCCTCTTCCCTTTGAATTGAGTTTAGCTAGCCGTAGTGGAGAGCAATACGTATTTTTCTATTGGACATCTGGGACAGCCAAGAAAGGACGACCATTTGAAATGGGACCTCTGGGATTTTCTGTACTTCACTCAAGCCAAACAAATGTATTCACTCCCAGTCTCTAAAACTAAACTAACAAGTAGAATTTGGTCGTGTGAAGTGTGAAGTAAGTAAGTGCACGACGCAGACGAGTATCCACCATTTAACTTTGTTTTAGCACGGTTAGCAGTCTGACTAACTCGGAGGTGACATCGACATTCCTTGATACGGGGCTGGACGATATATCGACATTCGATGATAGAACCCGGAGGCGCACACATGCACTGCACGCAGTTTCACATATAAATATGTACGACTTGGAAGTATCAAATTTTCAAAAAGGGATAGACAGGAGACTGAGGGGAGAATATCACACCACCAGCACACGCACACGACACATTTGAATACGACTTACTTGGCGTGACTTTCACTTCTTCTCGTGGAATAAAAATGAGTAAATCTTCCAAGTACGGAAGACTTCATATGAATACAAACGCAAAGGCAACGCAGAATTTTTTTTTCTTTATCCACCCGACGACGGCCAAAATGCTAAAATGCCTTCTTTTGTTGACTTAACATACGTATGTCTATCATCATGGATGGATATAACTCCATTCACAGCATGGTCAATTAAATTTCTACTCATGAACTTACTCGACTCTTTGTCATCCTTACTGCAATATGAGTTTAGTAAAACTAATATATGCAATATGTGTGCAATACAATACTTTACATGTGGACCTTCAGCAACAAACAGACATTCAGGATTACGAATGGAGACATATAAGGACGGACGATTCTTACCTGCAATAAAAAAAAACATTATTTTTAGTAAAATATACTAATGGATTAAAGTGAGAAATTTCACACGTTTGTGTGTGAGTATATGTATGTATGTATGTATAAAGCACGTTTCCTGGTTCAGGACAAATAAATTGCAGCCGTTCTGTTGAAATCAATTCAACGCTCTTCAATTTTGAATATTAACTTTGCTTCCAAGAAATACAGCACTTTGCGTTTTGTTGGCACAAAGAGCAGTCTGAGACAAATGATGAAAATTTGTCATCGCTCCCAACATGTGCTACTTTCTTTTCTACTCTAAATTCTTACACGTATTCCACTCACTCGCACCCCCAATTTTGTAGAATCCCTCAGTGGCACAGAGGCAACCAAAGAAATGGTTTTAATCAACTGGTGAAAGCTAAAACTTTCGCCATCATAATCACACTTGCGACGAAGATAACAAGGGTATAGGTAACTAAAGCTAAGGATAACAATAACGTTCCCTTCAATCGATCCACGTACTAGAAGAAATACACAAGGAACTAAATGTGTTCCATTTCCCAGGGAATTTATTTCATGACTTTCTCCAATCCATTTCTTTCTAGGATCAAGAAAATCACTCCCGTTTCTCTGCATCGACTTGACTCTGATTTATCAGAAAACCACAATGCTGGGCTAGTTATTTGCATGGAGCCAGTAAGTTATTGCAATCGTTAGCCAAAGAATCAGCATTCACAAATACAATAGTTAAATCAATGCAGTAACAATGAGTTTGATTTGGTAAGAAGTGTAAGAAGTAAATAATTTCGTTCAATTGTGATATACAAACACACAAATGTCCATATCCACGCGTGTATTTTTTACGGTTGATGGTTTTGTACGTTGGAATAAATCCAAAATTCTGCACAATATATAATAAACACTGTTACTTTCATTTTACAAACCGCGTAACCATTACGTTTTAGGGATGTTGTGCCTGTGAATATAAATGTGGTGCATTAGGCGGCTAACAATGCCCAAAGTACTCGTGCAGGGCATTAGCAGTAAAAGTATTTCTATTTCACTCCTGACAAAAAGAAACGAAACATTCTCCGGAATAAACATACACGATCATGATCACGACAGAAATTTCCTTTTAAACAAAACGCCTGTTCACCACTGACTTACACATCAAGGAACAATACAGCTCTTCTGTCCCAGTCCCCACGAAGGACCGTATACGTACACCGCCGAATTCTTTAATGTGTGGTACGTTATGTTTATTACGCCCTAATTCACCATTCACTTCACATTCGCCAGTTGGGAACCAGAAATCAAGAAGAAATGAACAAAACAACAAAACAAAGTGAAACGGTACCATAAATACGTTGTTAAAGGGAAAGCCGTGACGCTTGCTGGTTTTGCATTTGTTTGCATTGTTATTG